ATCTGTTCATAGCTTGATTCTTCAAAAGATAAAAAGAATCTGTAGAATATAGATTCTGCAGTCAATACAGCTATAACAGCTATAACAGATACAATAATCACTACATCTATCAATTCAAACAATAATACATTGAATTCAGCCTGTGAAGACTGTACTGAACATGATTGTAACAGTTTATAAAAGAGCTTCTGAAATTATCAGAGATTGAGAAATTCATCTATCTATTCTGAATGTGAGAGATCTCACTTTGACACTTATTAATTAATCAATTCAGACAGTGCTCTGAATAATTGAAGAATAAATAATACTGCAAGAATAAAGAAATTCAAGAAAAAGAAGAAAAAGAATAATAGTGAGAGTAGAACTCAACTATTCATTACAGATGAATCAGACATCTATCAGATGATAAATCTCATAGAGATTATCAATATATCAGTCTATTTCATAAAATCTCACAAGAATTCTCTCACTATATGAAATAGTGACACCGGATGCTATATAGTAAGTGATAGATCATAATTTTCAGAACTTATAGCAATCAATGATTTAACAGTTCAAGTGACTAATAAGGTTATTATAAAGATTCAGAGTGTCAGCACTGTATTCATCTCAGTAAGTGAAAGATTGATAGAATTTAATTATATATACTATATATCAGAGCTATCTACAAATCTGATCTCTGCTAAGCTTATAAAATGTCAGAGCTATATTTATCATAATATACAAGTTAATGCTGAGAACTATTTTAAGTTTCTATCATCTATTAACAGTGATATCTTCTACATTAATCTGTCTTATAATAATATTTACATTCTATCTGACAGCTCACTGACATTTTATGAGATAATGAACAACTCAATGTATAAAGCAGTGACATATGTGACTGTTTCAAAATCAAAGACAATCTCAACAGATTACAATTCAAATGCAGAATCTTTGAGATCTTTTAGCTATAAGAAGATTGAACAGTTAATCAACTCTAAGAATTCAGATACTAATTTCTTTATTATCTTATCTTTATCTCAATTATCTGCAGTTCTTCTGAAACAGCTTTTAATAGATGAGTGACATCATCAACTTAATCATATCAGTGAAAATAGTATATTAAAAATAATCTGAGATCTGTAATTTAGTATTATTATTATCAGTCTGAAGAAATTATCATTCTGTATTATATATATTAAGTCTAAACAGAAATGTGCTTTCTATAAGAATTTCACATCACATTATGTCATCTGCAAGTAGACTGACCATGTGACCGTGTCTGGGACCAGGACCAGATTTTTTGATAGTCTCATTATCAATTCGACTGATCCCATTACACGGTTTTAACATTAGATAGTAGTTTCATACTGTCTCAGTGAAACTTACTATCTACTCTTGTCACATTTTTCAAATAAGACCATGATTTTCACTTCTCAATTTAAATTATTTTTATTGCTTTAAATGACTTTAAATCTCATTTGAGTGTTATCAAAAAGCGTTACATTTTAAAAAATTAAAAATAGTCTAAAAAAAACCTTAAAATGTCTAAAAATAGTAACTTTATGCCAAGAATGAGACTAAATGGGATTAAATGAGATCACTTTCTCATTTTTTTCAAGTCATGGTTCCATTTTAAGATCTGATATATAGTCACTTTACATGTTTTTTTAATAGCCAGTCCCAGCGGGATTCACGCCAAGAAATGTATGGGACCAGATCAAATGAAACCAAACATGAAATTCATGATTCCGGCGGCCAGTCTATCTGCAAGGCCTTGAAGATTTGAGTGAATATATTTAATAATGATGAGACTCTTGAAACTGAAAATAATATATTATCTTATATTAGTAAGAAGCTTATAATGATGATAATAGATAATGTTATCTATATAAGATGAATATTTCTATTGAAATGCAAGAATGAGATGTTGAGATATCTACAGATCTTCAATCAATTTATCAAGAATCTGCTGAGACATGGCATTGCAATCATTCACTCAGATTATGAAGAATTGAATTCAAATGCAGTCATGACATACATGCTCAGTGAAGATATAAAATAAGAGCTGATTTCTTCTTATACTTCATAGTAAGATGAAGTATCTGAATAATTAATCAGTTTGATTATTAAGAAGTTCTGATCACTATTAATAGACTCTTCAGCTCTGAAAAAGATGTGAGATGAGGCAGTTATTACAGTCACAGAGCTGCTTAATCTTATACTAATCTCAACAATATTGTATAAGAGCTCTGAAAATACAAAGCTGATTACACTGTATGAGATCTGACTTGAAGCTCTATTCTCTGTACACAGCATTCACTGATGAGATTGCAAAGCATTCTTGAAGATAGTTCTCAAGCTCATCAATAAGATGACTTCTCATTTCAAAGAGTTAATTTTTATGAAATATAATGATTTTATCAATTATAGATTGATGAATCTCTTCAATAAGTATTTATATATATCAAAAGACATCATCTTTCAGAAGAATCTTTATCTTGTCAATTCATTGATATTAATAACACACAATCTGAAGATTCTACTCAATGTAGTCTGTAAAGCAGCTGTGATAATTTCTTCAGTGACACCAGATCTACTCACTGCAGTCTGTCAAGAGATTACAGTGATTTCTGATCAATCAATAGATAATCTGTTCATTGATGAGAAAATCTGATCTAAGTGTTCATTATTTCTTATATCTATCAATAATTGATGAATTGACTATAATATCTCTGTGAGAATATCTATCTTTTTAGTATAGAATACACTGAACTTCTCAGAACTTACAGTTAAATTAAATGATTCTCTGACATCTATAAGAGATATCACTACAGTGAGAGAAGATTCAGTGAGAGACAGTCTTGAAGATCTACTCATTAATTTCAAGATTACTGTACTTTCAATTCTGAAAAACCTCACACATATCAAAGCTTTTATGAAATGAAAGTATTATTACAAGATCTGTGTTAAAGAGATTAATTATTTGAAATAGATAGAGATCTGATAACTGATTAAGAGAATACTATAAATAAGTATTCTCTGTAATTAATAAGTATTTGATAAAAAGTTCAATAATATAAGTGATATTATTCACTATAAGATCTGCTGAGTTGTCTGCAGAAATCTTTAACAGAAGAAAGTTAATTACTCAAGAATCTTTGCATCTGTTATCTCTGCATTCATCTCATAAGCTCTTATGATAATCTCAGTATTCTGAGAATGATATGTTCTGCAGATTAATATAATAACTGTCTTTTTAAACACTCAACTGTCTGCTGATGAGTGAATATATATGAATTAACTCACAGAATTCTGTGAAGACTGTGATAATTTTATATATAAGTTGATGCAGAGACTCTACAGTCTTAAGCAAGCAGTACTCTTATAATATGAGAAGCTGTAAAAGATGCTATTACACTCAGACTTCTGTGTTAGTTTTTATAATACTGAACTATTTATTCACAATGAAAGACAGATCTATATAATTATCTATGTGAATGATATTCATCTCTACAGTCTGAAAATCAAAGATCTGAACTGAGTTAAAGTTAAAATCACTGCTAATTATGAGATCAAGAATGTAGAAGATTTTAATCACTATCTAGAAATGAAAATTGATAGAGATTCAACTTCATTGATATTATTTTAATTTCTCTTTATAAGAAATCTTCTGAAGAAGTTCTTAATAAATGACTGTCATTCTATATTCACTTCTATGAAGAAGAACATTGATTTCATGAATAATAATAAGAAACTGATTATATATACAGCAGAATTTACTCTATAGTTCTATTAATTCAGTATCAGATCTCTGTAATATCTGACATTTAATACATATTCTGATATAAGCTTCACTGCAGAATTTCTTGAATAATTCAGCTTCTGATCTATATCAAAGAACTGAGCTGTATACAAGTGTACACTCTGATATCTACAGAGTTCTATCAATGAGAGTATAATCTATCACAGAGATGCTGAAATTGAATCTGTAGTATATGCAGATACTGATTGAGCTGATAGAGATTCAGAATCCTGTTTAATCATCAGTTATATCATCTACATAACAGGTGGTTCTGTTGTATGACAGAGCTGCCAGTAAACAGAGATCTTTAAGTCATTAACAGAGACTGAATATATTGCATTCTCTGAGACTGCATATGAGCTTGTCTGTCTTTAAGAGCTTCTAGAAGACACTGAATTCATCTCATTCTGTCTTAACAATCTGAATGCTGATGATCACCTCATTTTCATCACAGTTAATAGTCTGGCTTATACAATTCATACTGATAATAAGTCTGTCATAGAGCTATTCTCTTCTGAAGCAATTTCACATCACTCAAAGTATATAGAGATTCATTTTTACATTCTTCAGAATCTTGTCTATAAGAATGAAATATCTATCTAATATGTTTCATCTGCCAAGAACACAGTGAATGAGCTTATTAAATCACTTGAAACATTGAAATATACATGTTGAAAAGAGAATATAAAGAAGATAGAGAGATAGAGGGATAAAAAATGATGTATATCATGACTGGTTTTTCATTACTTCACATTTTCCAGTCATTTTTTGTACCTGTACTTGATTTGAAGATGAATTTTGTATATAGCATCATGTATAGTTACTCTGGTGAGTGAGGGTGTCAGGTCACATGATCTGGCTTACTAATCCTTCCACCATATAACTTTCCATAAGCTAGCAACCTTTCAATCACACAAGCTTTACACCTTCCACAATTGTCAGATCAGAAGAGGTGACTTTGTTTGCAAATGAGTCACTCACTCAGACTGGTAGAGATATTTCTAGTCACTGTTTGTATGCAGAATGTCCTAATTTTTCAGAGCAATCAGGCACACTCTAAAATTATTGCCATATGCATGTTAGAAGCTTTAATGTAGCAAATAAGCACTGAAACGTTTAGCTTTTACTATTATTTCCCTAGTGCTTAAAATAAACAGTATATGTAGGACTTGGTTATGACTAAATTTTTGTGACTTTATTTTATTTGAACAAACTGCGTAAACTTATTATATTGGACGTTAAATCTCATTAGGAAGGTCCCTTCCTCAAACTAATATCTACTAGATGCATATACATATATATCTCAAAAAAGTGTTGAAAAAAATGTAGAAGCCGGAAGAGCAAAAAAGTTCAAAGTTAGAAAAAGAAAAGTCATTCAACCAGAGAACTATGGAGGCTATAACATAAAATGGATAAAAATATAAATATAAAAATCAAGTAAAAAGACATCCCGCATAAATGAATAGATGCTTTCTAGCTCCGGAAATGTTGAAAAATGAGGATATAGGCAGCCCAAAAAAAAGTAAAGGTGCGTACAGCAACAAAAGGTGTATCCACAAAAGTATAAACACAGAAAAATATAAAACGAGGAGTACATAACAAAAATCTTTACTTCTTCGCATTCCTCCTCGCCGCCGCCGCAGCAAGCATCTTCATCGACTTCGGCGCATCTTCGCCAGGAAGATAGAGCTCGACAAGCTGCAAAACGTTACCATAGCAGAATTCACGATCGTTAAATAAATCTTGCAATTCTTTCCGCGTGCGGATTTGGTACGTTTTGCAGGTGTCGGGCTGGGCGCCGAAGACGGCAGCGATGTCGTTGAATTTCCAGGGTTGGATGTCATTATACGGTGCGTTCATGCCATGGACGTAGCGCTCGATTACGTAGCCGTTGTTGCAGATTATGAAGCTGTGATTTGGGGATAGGGGTGGTTAGTTTGGCGTGGATGATGGGATCATATACACGGGTGGGGTGTTGGGGGGTGATTTGGTTTCGGGAAATTGCCATTCAGCGAAGAGGAAGGGGGTTAGTGGGAGGGGGAGGTAAGCTTACATTGTGGGAGTAAGTTTATGACGGATGATCGTACTCAGTTCTTGGCAAGTGAGCTGGAAACTACCATCGCCGATGAACAGCACCGTTCTTCGCGAGGCATCCGCCATTTCCCTGGCTGCCAACGCGGCACCCTGGCACGCACCCAGGGAGAAACCAATACTGCTCCACAGCACGGAGCTTATACCAATGGTACCTTTCTTGAATCCTGTATCCCACACGCCGAAATTGGAGGTTCCCGCCTCAGTGATGACGATGTCATTGGTCTTCAGGAACTCGGTGACTTTTGGCCAGAGCCAGTCATGGGTCAACTCCTGGTGATCAGCATCCTCGTCTACTCGTTTTCGCTTGGCCTGGTTTAATGGAATTTGTGCTGGGAGGTCTAGCATGTCTAGGCTCTTGACCAAGTGGTGGAGGAGTCCTTTCATCCTGATACCGGGGAATTCAGAAAATCCAACAATGGTTTTGTCGGCGTGGAACTCGACGTTGGTCACTTGGTCCGCTTTCGATGTGAAGCAGCCGGTATTGATGTCGGATTTAAGAGGACCGATGTTTAGGATTAGATCAGATGCGTGGAAATTATCGCGGATGATTGAGGCAGATGCTTCTCCTACGTAGATGCCTTGGAATTGCGGCAGGGTCTCGTCAACTGCCCCTTTCCCCATGGGAGTGACGAAAGCGGGGATATTGGACTTGGTGATAAATTGGTTAATTTCATCGGTGGCCTACCACAAAGAAAATATGAAAAAATTAGTACAAATGTTGATTCATTGTGTAGGATTTCAAATAAACATTCTCACATGATGCCTTATCGCCAAAAGATCAACAAGCAGCGCAGGGCGCTTGGCAGTTTTAAGGAGTGTTGTTATCATGTCGACAACATGCGATTCCCGCTTATGATCATTAGGTGGAACACTGAGGTCGATGGGATATTTCAAACGATCCCCATCCACTTTTGCCTGTACCATATTGGTGGGGAGACTGATATAAATCGGACGACTTTTGAGGATGCACGTTCGTAGAGCGTTGTCGACCATGGCTGCTGCATTTGATGGATCATCCAGAATGGCAACAGCGCACGAAACATGCCTGCTCATTTCTGCAAACACCTGGTAATTGCCATCTCCAAGTGTGTGGTGAAGGAGAACCCCCTCCTTCTGGGAGGCGGTTGAGGGGGAGCCGACGATATGGATAACTGGAACATATTCAGAATATGCACCGGCAATGGCGTTGATACTTGACAGTTCTCCAACCCCAAACGTGGTGATCATAGCTGAAACGCCCTTCACTCGCGCGTATCCATCAGCGGCATAGCCTGGGGTAAAAGGTAAAGCCGTCAGTTTCTCATTCCATTCTCAGGGTGATGTTGGATATTGCGGAGTCATAAAAGCTCAACATACCCGCATTCAATTCGTTGGCATTGCCAACCCAATCCAAACCGACCTTGGGTAGGTAGTCGAGGGCTATAGACGCAGGAGTCAGCTAGTTATCTAAACATTGTACAGTACCCAAAATTAGGAGCTACTAACCAACCAAATTGTAGTCACCCGGAAGGCCATGGACGGAACGAATTCCCAACTCATGTAGACGACGGAAGAGGTATTCTGCTAAGTCTATGGGGTTCGAATGTCCATTAACACCGTTGGTGGTTTTGACGCCATTCGTCTGAACGGAATCAGCCGTTGCTTCGTCCAACCGAGCAGAGCTGCCAACGGTAGATGGCATTTGATATCGGTTGTGACTGTCCAACGGTAGAAATATGTGAAATCGGTAAAGAGTACACAGTGACTACAGATGAAGAGAAGGAGAAAGGAGCCGCAATATCAATGCGAAATTGCTGGCTTACATCCCGACGACCGGAGAGCGTATCCAGCTACATCCGGTATGCTTGGAACTGATAACTGCGCAGATTCTCTCCCCATCAATTCCGCCAGAGAGGGCAAAGCGTCAGCCGATGCCAGCCGGTTATCTCAAGGCGGCTTGGCTCGTTTGGGCTGCAGAAAGATCCGGGCGTTGAGGCTAAATCGATCCTCTAACTATGTTTTGTCTAGCGTCCCCTTGCAGCCTCATGCTTAAACTAACGTCTTGTAACTTCCTATTGGCCAGGAGTCAGTCAGCTCCTTGCGGTGATTCTCCGCCATATCTTGGGGACAAAGATGGAGTTAACATACTTACTAGAATAAGGCTGTTTCCAGCGGGATCAGCATAATGTCAAATCTTCAATTTGAATACTAAACGAAGGACGAGTATTCGTAACAATTGCCCCATTGCCATCTGGCTCTGCACCCATTTCCCGAAGCGCCTGGTATCACTCCCATCACCCCACGGTGTATCAACATTTCGCGATATATACAAGCATGTGCTGGATACAGTTGTTGATCTGTAATTATTCCGTACGTCACCGGCCGCAAGCCCGCACTTAGGCGCGACCCCGGCTTGATATTCCGACCGAAGAGAGCCGACTATAGCCGCCGAAGCTTCTTTGTGCTTGCGGACCTTGGAACCTCAACAATGGTAGAAATGTATGTACTGTACTCTGTACCAAGGTAGGCCCTGCCGTACACATTTAATTGAGGTATGGTATTATTTTTCGATGGATGCGCTGAGGTATTTATTCATTCGTCCTTCATAATTTCGAGCCGTTCAGATAATTTTAAAAGTGTCAAGCTGGTTATCCTTTAGGGCGAGTTTTATAATTATCTGACGAGCTATTTCGGATACCTAGAGGGATGGGACGGATGCGAGCGGACAAAAAACCAACGGAGCGCATGCCGCTCTGATGCTGGCCGTATCTTGGACGGAACGAGATCAATGGCTTGGCGCCGATTTCACCACTATCGGAATATCCACTAGATATTCCGGGGCCAGGGCGTGGTGGAGACAAAAGTTTGAGGACAACACATATTGACGAATGGAACTCTTTATCATAACATCTTCAACTTTTGAGGACTAATAAATGGAGATTGAAGAATAAAGCCAGAGCCGGAAACCATTCTCTAGGCCACAGAATTTCACTTTGTTTGTGGCATGTTAATGTTGAACCCGAGTAATCGCGGCACCAATGTCATCCGCAAACATAGCAGAAATAATCACTCACAAAAAACACTGCCAAATTAACTAGGTTGTTGACACCAGTTCCCCAGCAAGACGAAATACAAATCGCTTAATTCCGAGCTAATAGGGAATCGAAAGACTCCTCATCCTATTTGGGTCATGGTCATTGTACTTAGACCTCGGGAGTGAGAATAACTCCAAGATATCAATACGTCTCCGTGAGCCTCCGAACAAGATACTCTCCCGAATTGATCCTTTCATACTTCTTCGCCCCCAGCTCACCGCCAAACGTACCAGGAATCGCCTCGATAAATTTGTGGAAATTGGGGTTACAAAAATAGGCCACACTATAGCGCGCCGGATATACGTCTGAATTCTCATCACCTCCTTGCCTTGGAGGAGGTTCCACAACTCGATGATGCGTGCTTTTGATCTGATCATTGGCCCACCGCGCGAGCAAATCGCCAGCATTTATCACAATGGTGTCGGCAATTGGGACAGCGTCGATAAAGGTTCCCTTGGGAGATCGGACTTGCAGACCGCCCCGGGCATCCTGGAAAAGTAGCGTAATAGACCCGTAGTCGCTATGCTCCCCCGCGCGAACTTGGCCCTCATTGTCCCTGAAAACGGATTTGGGAACGGATGGATAATGCAAGAGTCTCAACGTGTTATCCCCAGCGTCGGTGTACTCGTCGAAGAAGCTTTCGGGAAGACACATGCCTAGGGCTATGGCGCGCATAATCTTGATATGTAGCTCTTTGCATGTCAGGAAGAATGCTCTCATGATCTCCGTGAACACCCTTCCTTGATCATCTATCTTGTCGGGCCATTGATTCGGGCACCCCTCTTCATCTTCACGGCCGATCTCAAAGCTCTCTTTTAAATCGGGGATTGTTTCCCTCATCTTCTTGATCTCGTCCATGTCGGAGGACTGGGTGACTTTCTCCCGGCCCATGGCCGTATAACCCCTGTTCGCTTGCGCGGTTGTCCATGCTAAACTGTCCTTTTCAGGCCGTGGCCTTCCAAAGAATCCAGCAGATGTGTTGAAGATATTCTTCACAATCGATGGAGGAATTCCGTGGTTTTTCAAGTATAAGAATCCCGACGTTTTGAAGGCCTTTGTTATGGAAATTCCCACGGCATGTCTGTCGGCTGGGGTACCAGTAAGATAGGGTTCAAAGTCGATCACCTAGGAAATCGGATTGTGGGTATAGCTCTATTAGCTAATCTGACTTTCACGAGTATTTCAGGAATTTTTGACGGCGGCAGATTTAGAGGCAGGCTTACAGGAATGACCAAGTCATCTTTGGAGACTCCTTCTGAAATAGGATTGCATTCCTGGATGGGAGACATATTCCTGACAGCCCTTCCTCACAGCAATTCTCCCTGTGTCAGTCGTCGGATTGTGAGAAGTGAGTGGGGTACTTACTGATGGAGAGGATCAAACCCTGCCTGCACTGGGTAGAAGAGACAGTGCCAAAGCAAAGCAGGTGTGGTAATGCTATGATTCGAGCGAGAACAGAGAGTACTCTTCTGTAGTAGAAGCTGGTAAAAGTAGATGAATAAATGCGATCACTGAGAGCAGATTTTGGTGTTGTTAACCTTGCCATTCAAGTCTCACAGGTATAAGCACCGGATGTAACGCCAGTGCCAATTTTATGCAGGATTTGTCGGCCGGGACACGGTTCACCCTGCACAAATCCCCCAACGACAATTATATTACATGTGTAGAAATTCTCCAGGTGCAGTACAGCGCCTACGAAGAGAACGACACGCGCAACTTCGATGTCCCTTTCCACATTTCGTCTCATTATCACGATACAAACAGCCGGATTCCAGGGTCGCCTGACGCGATACCATTTCTTGGCACCGGAAGCTTATCTTTATCACTGGAAGTTGCCCCACCTCCCGCATTTTAGCGGTGCCGCTAAAAGAAGCCCCTAGAGCTTAACTAGACACACGCCGGACCGTTAGGCATGGTTAGGGTTCCCTCCTTACCTATCGCCCGGTATTTAATGGGTGTGTCTGGAAGACGCTGTAGGGTGTGTTAAGGATATCCCCCCGGAGATGGGGGATTCGATTTAGGGACATTTTTAGAACACTTCGTACGAGCACTCAAGTTAGAGCTGCTCGTCACCACGTAAACCAAACCTTTCTTGCGTGCGCTGCACATGAGTTATCAATGGCATGTAATTCTTGATGAAATACATATCCATGCTATAGTTACCCCTCCACCAAGCTGGAAATTCAAAGACACACACTTGAACCAAAAATCTCAGGAAGCTCCCTACATCACTCAACTACCGAACTCTCACAAAAGGCCATGACAGAAGCAAATGAAGGGCAAATGCCCGTGTACCCAATTATTGACATTCACACCCATGTCTATCCAGACTCCTACCTCAGCCTCCTCCGCTCGCGCACAACGGTACCATACATCTACGACCCCCCGGATGGTAGCCCCGCACGCCTCATCATCCTCTCTTCAGATGACAGCCCCTCCATCCCGAAAGAGAAGCGTGGCCGTCCCGTCGACTCCAGCTACTCAGACATCAGCCTCAAACTTGCATTCATGCGCAAGCACAACATCACCACAAGCGTGATATCCCTCGCGAATCCATGGCTGGATTTTCTCCCTGCGCAAGACGCGTGTCGTTGGGCAGAGAGGATCAATAACGATCTGGAGAGCATATGTGCTGAGCAAAATGCAAAGGCGGAAGCGAAGAGGAATAGCAGTAGTACTGGCGAAACATTGCCGTTGAACGAGTTCTATTCGCTTTTTGCCTTTGGCGCATTACCCCTCAGCGCGCCGGATCCAAATGCCATCGTGAACGAGATATCCCGTCTTGCATCGTTGATGTTTATCCGTGGCGTCATCATGGGCACGTCGGGACTAGGAAGTGGACTGGACGATCCAGCGCTCGATCCGGTCTGGGCGGCGTTGGAAAGGACCCGGACGCTCCTATTCCTGCATCCGCATTACGGGCTACCCAATGCCGCCTTTGGTGGCGATGAAACCGTGGAGCGCTATGGCCATGTGCTGCCGCTCGCGTTAGGGTTTCCCCTAGAAACCACAATTGCGGTAACGAGAATGTACCTGGCCGGTGTATTTGATCGGTTTCCGAAGTTGGGCATCCTGCTGGCCCATTCTGGTGGTACGCTGCCGTTCCTAGCGGGCAGGATTGAAAGTTGCGTTGCCCATGAGAGGAAATTTCTCGCGAACGGGGGGAATGTTGCTGGGCCAAAGAAGAGCTTATGGGATGTACTGAATCAGAATATTTATCTGGATGCTGTCATTTACGGGGAGGCGGGACTGAGGGCTGCTGTGCATGGGGCAGGGTCTGTGGATCGAGTTCTATTTGGTAAGTTGCATAAATTAAAACCCTTCACCATTATATACGTCCTACGCCGTTATTTTCTGTAAAAAAAAGTTCATATCTCATGACTTTGGCATATCAGGAACCGATCACCCCTTTTTCCCTCCCCTTGATGGTAAGGATAAGCAATGGCTGAGTGTCGTGATGAACCAGAGAGTTATCGATGGCGCTTTCGGAGCTGAGTCGGATACTGCAAAGGCCATTTTGGGAGGCAATGCTGTCAAGATTCTAAATCTTGAGAGCTAGGAGAAAGATCATAGTTCCAAGAAGTACGGAAAAGTAAAACTTGTTGCGTAGGCAATATGGTTTGGAGTATCATTAGATAGGATAAGTATATAGATATGCCACGTCAAATTGACAGAAAGTCCTTCCAGTCATAATCAGAATGCCGGACATTCGGCATCCTGACATTTCGTCTTCCCACAGATATCAAGATAGGAACTGTGATAATAGCGAATGTAGAAATAATACAGCTGTAAAAAACTCACTGAATCACAACAGAAATGTTGCTGAATCAATGCATAAAAATAAAAGAATCAAACTTTCAAAAACATGGCGACCGTGGGCAGTACAGATCGGGCTTGGACCACATCATTCCCTTCAACATTCACTTCTCATCAAGCAACACGTCCCACCCAATTAAGCGCCAAACTTCTTGTGTAAACCACTCAGCAGGGTCTGTTGCAGCTGAATCAAACGAACGGCCAGACGAAACCTCTGGTAGAGAATAAGACGGCTTCTCCGGCACTTTCAAGGAATCCCTAAATTTGGGCTCGTTTTCCCCGAAGATCCCTTTCAAAAGAGTATTTTGCAACTTAGTTTTTGCGCGCTGCAGTATTCCCTCGGACGGCGGCCCCTTAGGTAGAGTTGTTTCAGGCAGAACCAAATCACCATTTATCACATCGCTAGGGCGTTCAAATTGGTCTGTGAATGCTATTGCCCTTTCAAGAATCCAGATTAGATGCCTAGCTTCGCATTCCGCCGCGCGTTGGGCAATTGCCATTTCTCCCCTGGCAGGGTACTCTTTATCGAAGTTACCCGGCATGGGGAGTTTAGCAGGATTCAAACGGAGGTCGGAATTGGAATATAATTCTTTGAACACGAAAAGGCACAGTGTCCTACCCACTTTTTCTAGAATGGAAAATAAAAATCCTTCTAGTAAACTATTCTCTTGCGGTTTGACGGGATTGAGTGAGAGGATCATACTGGCGAGAAAATGGCTGAAGAGGTTTAAAGTTAATTCCTCGTCTGATGTGATCAATGGGCTAGCCGGTGTCTTCGTCATTTTCGTCTTAGACCGTTGCTTGCCCTTTTTGCCGGCGGGTATTCCTTGTGCTATGCTTTCTTTTCCTTTTGAAATTATATACTGATGCATATGACCGAGAGTTTTCTGGAAAAGCTGGATTATGTGGTAGGTTAGCACCCCAATACCGGAGCCTGCGTCGTCACTATCGGACAATTTGTTCAAGGTCTGTAGGAGCAAAGGATATGAAGGACAGATTCCCTTTAAAACATGCTGTAAACCAGGCTCGCGTGGCTGCAATGTCTTTTGCTTAACTGAAACATTCGATCTGGTGCGTTTGTCTCCTATTCTCGACCGAATGGTTATGTCAATCGCTTCACATAGGCCCACGGAAAGAGACACAAGAGCTTCGTGGTTAATCTTTCTCTGTAGCTGCTTTTGGAGTGCATGGAAATGCCTCAGAAACGGAGTTGAAACTTCGATACTATCAGTATCAGTGCATAAAGAAGGATTAATGGAAAGGAAAGTATATCACTCTCTGAAAATCCAAGCTCATCCGCCGTACCACTCAAAAAGTCCTTGCTCTGAGGCCGAGATGTATTCAGTCTTCCATTCTTCGTGGTTTTGGCCCTCTTTTGCGCATGGCTCAGTACTGTTGAATCTCCATCACCGTTAATTTTCCTCTTCGTCCTAGGCGCATTGGTTTCAGAAGCATTGGACTCCCCGCCCTTGAGAAGGAGGGCCGCATTTCGTTGCTCTAACTCGTATATTTTGTCGAGAAGCTTGCTTTGGGCAGACTCTGACATCTCATATGCTTCCCGCCAGAAAGTTATACTGTCTAGATGTTTCTCTGGCAATTCAGGGGCATGATATGCTTTGCCGTTTTGGATGTGCCGTCGAATTTTGAGAATATGATCTAAATAACACCATTAGCAAAGGCTGCTTGCTCTATTTGGGATTCTGTAAGGTAGAAAGACAGTCCGGATAGAATAGACCTTTTATCGTGGTATTTGAAGGCTTCGACTTGACAATAGCCAAGGCAAGGGCTAGCTGAGGCTGAGATGGAGGACAGCATGAGTTCCAATCCTGACTGGGTGTCATTGTCAGTAAAAAGAGGGTCGAAGATGAGCAAAGTGATTTATGTCATCGAACAAATTACCATGAGGAATGGTTGTGGAGGTCGCGGCGGGAGTAAATAATGAGGCTCAACCCCAAATTCCCCTTTTGGGCGACCACCGAATTGGATCTGCGCCTCATACAGAATACTTTTTAACCATCCTCATTGTTGCCATTTAAAAGGGTATATATCAACGTATAAACTGTAGCTAATGTGTATTTCAGCCAAATCCAATAGTAGAAAGCGTCCCGCCATCCATGCAATCTAGCGAAAGGATGCCCGGTCTACAACACATAAATAAAGAGGCTGACAATGAATTGTATGTCAACAAAAAGTATGAATAGAACATGACGCCCGGTACACTAGCCTCAATCCAGGAAAAAGCGGCAGATGGATACCCTGTCTCCATTGAAGAGGGGTGTAATTCCTGCTCCGGATGCAGATTACAAGGACCCGGAGCTCCAGGTGATGGTTTCGCATGAACCTATCTGGATTCAAAAACCAAAGTTCAAGGCAACAAATTCCCTCTCGCCATGGCTTCTGTTCGCATATACATGACTTGGGAAATGATCTCTTTCAGATATATTTTACATTATCAATGCTGAACTTCCATGAAAACAGGACCAGATTTGATTTCTCGAGAATAGGGACAGTTGAAGCCGGAAAACACGCCGTCCTTCAATGATGTGACAGAGTAACGAGGTTTTCATCGTCCGCTTGCCATACCTGAGAGGAGTTCCAGGTAATCTCCGTCCCTGCGTTGGGTAAATAGTCTTATCAGCATTAATATACATATATAAAATGTAGTTCTAACGGAGAATCAGAGGATGTAATCATATCACGTGATAATTCAAAACAAATATTTACCACGCGCTTTCCTGGTGTTGCCACTCGCAAGGTTAGCCTACTTATTTAAATATACAACGTCTTATTCAACTTTTTAGTTTGACATACATGCGCTGATCATTTGAGAAGCTAAGGCCTTGAATCGCACCCGCAGCCATCATGGCACCGTCGGACGACCTAAAATCGCATGCTGCCTCTTCTTATGACTTTTACGGGCTCCTAAGCCTATCTCCCACCGCTGCGGACGCAGAGATCCGTCGCGCATATCGGAGGACGGCATTAAAATATCATCCAGATAAACTTACAAACCCTACACCCGCGGACATCGATAAATTCCATCTCCTGCAGATCGCCTACGATGTGCTCTCGGATCCATCCATACGGCAACTCTACGATAATGCGCGAGAAGCACGGGAGAGGAAGAAGAGGGAGAGTGAGATGCTAGAAGGGGTTAGGCGGAAGATGAAAGAGGATTTAGAAGCAAGAGAGCGCGGTGTAAAACGGACATGGACTGGCGCTCCCGCTACCCAGGGGACGTTTGGTGTTGATGATGCAGAGGCGAAGCTGGAACAGGAACTAAGAAGGCTGGCAGAAGATGGAAGGAGGAGGAGACGCGAGAAGGAAGAATTATTGAAGAAGGAGGTATTGGAAGAGGAAGAAAGGCTGGAGAAGGAAAAGGAAGAGAGGGAGCGTGCAGCACAGAGCGAAAATAAAGCCCATCGGAAAAATGGTGGCGGTACGTCGGTTCCTGAAATTGATCGAACGGTCAAAGTCCGCTGGCCCCGGGAAGGTGCTGGATTGGAATTTGACAAAGATCGCCTTGAATCACTCTTCTCCGTCTTCGGCAGGGTGGACAGTACTTTTACACTTAAAGACAAAAGGCAAAGGGTGGGCGAGAAGCGGGAAAAGAAAACTATGGCGACCGGTGTTGTCGTTTTTGCCTCGATCGTTGGCGCCCATGCTGCAGTAGGAGATTACAAAAAGCAAAAGGGCGACTATTGGGATATAATCGAATCTGTATTTTGGGCCTCGAACAAGGAACCTGACTTCGAAAAGCCATCATCACCCCCGCATCAACACGAGGAGCAGACAACGTCAACACCTTCCACTCCAACCTCTACCGCCAAACCAAGGAATAAATTTAACTTCCCCGGACTTAACACGCCATCATCAACTCTCTCTAAGGAAGAACATGGATCGAAGCATGTCCCATCGTTTGCCTCTTTCTCATCCGCTGGATTGAAGACGCCAAATGGTTCGCCGTCAGCACGACATTTCGGACTTGGACCCAACAGTCCTAGTTTAGAAGAGCTCACTATGATTCGGTTAAAGAACGCTGAGAGAAAAAGGCTAGAAGAGCAAATTAGGAAAGAGGATGAAGGTGCCTCTGCAGCAGGAGGAATCGCATGAAGCTGGCGCGGTAAATGAATCAACGACATAGCTGCGAAAGCGTCAGCCGAGCGAGTACATATTGCTGAGCTTGTGTAGATATTTTTTGAGCTATATGCTCTCTTAGAGATACCCATTTCAAATAAAGATGTTTCATTCCGCTTCATACAGACCATTTCAGCGTACAATTATGATATTAATCTGACATTCTTACCCAAAAATCGGGACATATTATCAAAATCAAACCCTTGGTCTTGTAACAGAGATGAACTCCGCAGTGGGTATCCCCTACACACACAAATAGGTGTTCATACCAAACACATATCGCTATAAATACAATGAATGCCAGGACACTTTACTCCTCTCGTTGCCGCTCAATCTCTTTAATCTTAGCATCCAACTTCTCCAACTCTTCCGCAACCTCTTCGTCGCTCTTTTGCGGTGGCGGTGTTGGCTTCTTCACCCCTCCACTAACAATATAATCCCTCGTCCATGGCGGGACCAACGCTTTAACCTTCAATTCTCCAGCCTTTTCAACTCCTGCTTCCGCATCAGCCTCCCATGATATCTTAAATTCCTGGTCGGGGTTATATTGCGACGACTCTTCCGTAAAAACGATATCTGTCATCATTTCCAATCGGCATAGCGCTAACCCAATGTTTCCCACGCCAGAGAGGAATTTTCCAGCGCTCCGACCTTTCCTTGAACTCACCTTTGCTATATTAGATCCAGCGGGGGGTAACACCAACTTAGATTCTGATGAGTAGTTTGGCACGTCAGTCTCTGGGATCGGTTCATCCATATCATAGAGCTGCACGGGCAAAATCCTCTTGCGGACCACTCCTCTATGATGGGTACGGATGGTCAACTCTTGCCCAGTGTAACAGCCCTTGTGGAAATCAATAGCCCCCATTATATCCATATTGCATTCCATCGGCAACGCAGATTCTCTAATAATCTCCCCCTGGCCCTCTGGTACGCCATGTAAAATCCGACGCAGATTATACGTAGCAAAATCAACCATCTCGCCCGGCATTATCGGCTGCTCGTTCACGACCTTCTCAGGCGCGAGGAAGCGGAATCCAAACCCAGGAGCGCGTGTATCCACACACGTAAAAGGCGGCGACTTTCCATTTTCTAGTTGAAAATCGTACTCCATAATCCCCGCGTCTTCCTCATTCCACAAGCTGAAAACATTAAGCTCGCCCTCGTCCATGGCACGGAACGCAAGTTTCGCTCGTAATTTATGTTTCCGCATGTGTTTCATCAAATTCGTAACCTCATTCTTGTCCACTTCAATAAGATATGCGAGGTCTGAGGTGCCGTTGTAGCTATCGTTCGGCGGGACGGGGTAAATGAAGACATCATGAAGCACTCGTCCTGGCGCATTCAGGAAAGCCGCATAAAATCCACTTTGCGGCACCGGTGTATTCTGCGGGGTGAGGAGATTTTGTGTTACCAGTCCCTGGAGGAAGCTCGTGCTGTCTTTCCCAGTTAGAGTGATGAGAGCTCGCGTTGGAAGTCGAGCATAGCCGGAGAGCGGCGGGAGTGAAGGGAGGGACCGGAAGGACGGGGCAGACTGCTGATTTCGAGGTCGGAACGTGGAAAATTGACGTCTAGAGATTGAACAACGGCTACATATCGAGCCGAAAGACACTCGAGGGGGCATTTTGAATAGCTGTCCCGCAACACTCTTGATATACAATCGGTTTTGGGGTGCAGTAGTTACTTCGAGGCCTAATTACTAAAGGGCGGTATGATGCGGCAGAATCGGTTAAACTTCTCACCGGATGTGAAACCACGTAATGATAACTAGTGGTTACTAGTGGTCTTGACCCAATAAGATATATAGATTGCTATTTAAAAGGCTAATGATAGTTGACCACCCAATTGATAATAAGGACCTAACTATTTACATTTCGGCTCCCAAACCGGTCCTGAACTTCGCGCCCTTAGAACATAGCGGTCATAACTAGGGTGAAATGCCCAACGTGGACAGAATTACACAATCATTGTTTACCCTTCGCAATGTTGTCCAAGTACCCGAGCAGGAATGCCTTGTCCCTCGGTGATGTTGGGGCTGCCTTCCGAGTTTCGTTTCCACCAACGGGGGAAATGCTTCCCCGACTGGACAATGGAGCAGGACCGCGTGCTGTTGGCATGCCAACTTGGGGAGAAGATATCTCAACTGGGCTTATGATGGCCGAGCGTGGTGGAGATTTTGGCGCAGGGGGAGAAGCTCGATTCTGCTCTGAAGAGAGCGGAGTGGGTGAAGGAGAAGCTTTTCCAAAGAGAGATAGCAAAGCTTCTTTTTGAGAGGCGGTCTGGCTCGGTCGTCGGTCATAATTTACATTAATTTGGGTAGGTTTATCGCGTAGATGATCCAGCACAGTGTCTTTTTCTGAGAGACTAAACGCACTAACAGTCACGGTGCCGTTAGGAAGCGAAGCCTCGAGATCTTCTTTAACAGGACGGCGAAGGATTTTCGGTTGAAACGGTTTTGTAATCTCAGAGAGTTTGACATTTCTTTTCGGAGGTGAAGTAAGCTGTGGTTTGGCGTTGGTAAGTTGCGGTGGAACGACTTCCTTCGAGGGAGGTGGGCGTGGAAGGATAGTGAAACTTCCTGTCGGTGTTGTAGCTTCCCCCTTGTTAATATTTCGTGGAGATTGCCTCGCAGATTTCTTAGGCGGTGGTTTTGCAATAGCTTCGAACTGAGGTATGTTCAAGGGACCCGACACAGTGGCCGAAGTTCTGGGAGCGGTGTTTGTAGACTTCTGCGGGGCTTGTGTTCTTGGTGGCGACTGTACAGGCACAGGCGCATGAATCCGTGCCGGATCAAAGGAAGGGCTAGGGCGAGCAGCTAGCTCTGCATGTCCCGGGGCAGGAGGGGCCGCCTGAGGCTTTTTCAAAAGTTCAAGGAGACTCTCGTGGTGTTGAGATTGAGCACTAATTGGTGGATGCGCTGCGCTTTGCTGCGATGTTGGCTCAGGCTTAGGTACGTCTGTTTTCTTAACGCTCTCATTCTTGAAGACATTGAGAAGAGCGAGTGAGTGACTTGTGAGTTTCGGCGGAGGAAGCTTGCTGGCTGGAGGAATGGACCGTGCATGGGGATTTGGAAATAGTTCCTGGGCAAATTCCGGGTCGCCAGTGCGCTGGTAAGGCGCTGGAGTATTTCTCTGTGGTAGAGTGGTATTGAAGCGCGGTGCTTGATTAGGAGCTGAAGACATTGGTGAAATTCTGAAAGGCGATCGTGGAAGGTTGGGTAATGCTGATGGCTGGTCCCTAGAATACGGGTCTCCGGGTGATACTGGGAATGATGGATAAGGCAATTGGCGCACACTGGCATGTGGTGGTTGCTGCTGTTGACGATGGAGCGGATGACCTGGAGTGTATGGGAAGGGAAACGAAGGGTGTTGGCCAACCTGCCTTTGGTGAGGTACGTTTCTAAAATAGCCTTGATTCACAGCCATTCCTGTGCTAAACTGTATTGGAACGCCGCTTTGATTCTGGGGAACCGATGGTTGTGCAAAATTC